TTTTTTATAACAGATAATGAAGTCCGTTTATGTATTTGAAAACATTTTTGTTGGGGGTAAATTATTTCAAGTCAGTATTTCATTTGTTTTAATTAGAAAATTTTCTTACATCATCATCATTATGAGATATTTTATACAGTTTAAAAATAAACTATTCATTTTTTATTAATAAAAGGTTTTTACTGAAATTTGTAATTACCATAGTAACAAATATTTTGAATTTAAGTCATATAAGTGTGGTATCAAACACATACGTGTATAATTATTTAAATATTCTTTTTCGTTTATGTAAAAATAAACCAGTGACTAAAATCATATCAAATGAAAGAACATTTTTTTAAATACTTTTGATGATATTAAAATATGATAACTACGGTAATATTGTAATGCAATTAAATCAGAGATCCATTTTTTTTTACGTTTCATAAGCTCATTATAATAAGTGACCTCCCCAAAGGAGAGGGTTTTTAACCATTGATACCCTGACACGGTTGGTTAGTCCGTCACCGGAGAAAAGGAAGTCGATTATCGAACTGATCTCTCCCTCGGCAAGTGAAGACGTCAGTGACCGAGTGTCGAACCTGAGACAGTGTGTGTCAAGCACTGTCGCTATACTGACTCGGCCTGACAATCCCCATAAAAAAAAATAAAATAAAAATATTCAACTGGTTCATTCAAGAAATTAATTGTAACAAAAAAAAATCAAAAGCTCTTTACTGAAAAATATTCTCTGGTAAAATCAACAAACGCATTATGAATAACGTCCAATATACTTTTTGTTAAATTAATCATTTCATGTTTGTTAAAATAATAAAGCATTAATCAAATTCAAAAATATTTTGTTATATCAATAAAAAATTGTTTTAATTAATAAAAAATGCTATTTTTTATCAATAAAAAAAATTTGTTGAATTTCACTAAAGAATTTTTTTAGTGTAGAAAAGTTTTGTAGTAAATACCAAATTCGGAATTAAAATGTGTTATGTTAAATATAAATTTTTAACAATTTTCTCATAAAAATGTTAATTTTTTAAAATTGTATGGTAGCACATAATCTTAAAGTGTATAATTAAAATAATAAGAATAATTTTAGTTGAACCTAATTTCTATTGTTACTTGTTTATTATTATTTTTTAACATTATTATGCCAATTTATAAACTTATTAATCTCTAGGCAGTATTTATTTAATACTTTATTGTAAATGTTAGCATAGGTGTTATCGTCCAACGCAGTAAATAAAACGGCCAAAACGAAATAAAACGAGCTGAGACATTTGTATAAGTTATACTTTATAGTTTTGATTAAGTAAAAAAAAAGTTGGTTTAACTGAATTCACTGAAAGTAAATACTACTACAATACTTTTTAGCTTTGCTACTACGGTACTCAAACGTAATTTGTGAAAAAAAATCCATTGATGTTGATCTTGTGAACGATCAAAATACTAAATTAAGTTTAATGTCAAATACAATGCTATAATCATTATTAAAAATTTAGATAGTTTATTAATGTTTACTTACTGCGTATGTAAATAATAGGTTTCATTTTAATGATTAAATGTTTTTAAGTCCCAAAATATCACTTTTTAGATGTTTTTTAATCTTTTTTTAAAATTCCTTTAAAAAACTGGTTCTATTTTGTTGTTGTATTTTGTACTTAAAAATGAATGAAAATATTGCTTATTGAAGCAAGTTTTTATTTGATTATGCAAACATAGATTAATTAATGAAATTATTAAATACTGATAAGTTTTTATGTTTTAGCGCTTCAAAACATCACAGCGTACTGTGTTTTTAACAAACACCCACATACATATATCTGTCAAAATATTAATAAAATAAATATAAGAACCTAATAGTAATTTGTATTGTTTACAAAAAGGTTTGCTAATTAAAAACAAATTAAAAAGTTAGTTTAAACAGCTTTTATCATGATGTAAGGATATTTAATCCTTACACAATCTTCCCTCCATGTGACGACTTAATTCTTTCTTGCAGTTTTTGGTTTAGGGTCATTCATAAAAACCTCCATTGCTCTTTCAAATACAATGATTTTAATAAACTAACTTAATCAATTCAGATAATTGTTTATCCTTAACTATTGATAGCTGATAACTTAACTCACAATATATTAACTGAATCGCATAATCCAAACACAAGTAGGTAACTTAAAATAAAAANCCTTAACTATTGATAGCTGATAACTTAACCCCTAATATATTAACTGAATCGCATAATCCAAACACAACTAGGTAACTTAAAATAAAAAATCGTTTAGTATATAAACACGAGATCAAATCATTCATTAAGAATTTAGTATTAATTAATATTATTAATTATTTTATTATTTTTGAATACTTCACTAGAAAATAAAGCACTATTAAAGAAGATATTATATTAGATTAAGAGTTATAGCAGACATATTCTCTCGATGGTCAGTGTAAGTTGGTAAACTATTATTGAGTAAAGTTGTGCAACTCTGTCAAAAACAGACTTTCTCAAGTAACACATTTTAAGACGAGACTAGTGTATTTTCTAGTTATTTTTCTTGAAGAACGTTACAATTTGAAAAATATCTTGTGTTTGATAAATTTTTTGTGTAATACTCCTGCAACAAGTAGAACAAATAATTAATTATGATAAAAATAAGTAAGTGAATTCCTATTAAATTAACAATTTATAGCAACAACAGCAGTAAAAAAAATATACAAAATTGAAGTAATATGTTTGTTTAAAAACCAATTCAACCTTTAAACTAATGTCAGCGAATTAAAATTATACAATTGATTCTTCTTGTATCGAACGTTTTGAAGTTATAATTATCTCGAATAACTTTGAAATATTTTGATTTGTTTGTAATATTTATATCTTATCATTACACTCAATAGTTTGATTTTTTTTTTCAAAAAATAAATATTTTGGTTGATTTAAGAAATAATAAAATTAACTTTACTAAATTTGCTTATAAGTTTTGGTGTAGTTAAAGATTTACTAGAAAATGACAAAACAATCTAAATTACTTGTAAAAACGAGTCATTTTTGTAAATCGATAGAACGTGGACGAATTTTATTAAAAATCATTTAAAACATCAATAATAATTCAAGTAAAGATGATCAGAAAAAAAAAGTTGTTAAAATTTCCATACAATTATCTTTGAAAACATTTATATATTTTATTGCGACTTCTTAGAGATTTTAAGATTCTTTTTGAAGACCCAAAAAGGTCATTAGTGGGAGGGAGGATTTATCTCAATTCAGTTAATTTACAATTTTGAGTAATGTGTAAAAAAAATATATGAAATTTATGGCGTTAAAAATAATGTATTAAATTATATAAAAATTATTTAAATTATTGGAAGTAAATTGTAAGAGTTATAATTATAAATAAAAAAAATAAAAAATATAATGTCATAGATTTATTAATAATTGTAATAACTAGTACCTTTATTATTATAAAGGAATTATTACTTAGTTTAGGAGTTAGGTGTTTCGCAGTAGATTATTTATTGGCCGTCGTAGCGCTGGTGTTCAGTTATGCTGTTTGTTGATTCCCAGATGGGTGACCATTACAATGTTCTATCAAATCGTAATGTAGATATGATCACAAATATTTGCGATAGAGGCTAAGAAGATGAATAATTAATTAGTTTTCAACCCTAACTAATGGCATATTTTTAGGTTATTCTACTTTTGCTTAATCAATTGAGTATTTTAAAACTAATCATCTATTATTTACACAATGCGAAACATTGTACTATTAGAAAAATAGAACTTTTAAATTTGTTTTCTTTTGTCCTCGTTAACGAAATAAATGAACTACCCCTTGTAATGATTTTAAAAATCGTTTCGATTTATGGTAAATAAAATTAGCATAAGTTGACTACAATGTTGTGTCGCAAATCAGACTAACAAAAAAGGTGTCGTATTCATACATAGCAGATAAAAGTATAATAGTATAAGGAGTACGTTTATTTTCCTACCATAGTTTTTGTGTGGTTGTTTAAACTGTTCATTGGGGAATTGTATCACGTAGGACGATCAACCGCCATAGATAACACACACGTTTTGTTTGTACCCATGCACAAGGACTACACAAAGTAATTCAAACGTATAATTGAAAACAGCTCGTAAAAAAAGAATTAAATATTACCAAAAATAAATCTAAGCCAGTTTTTGTTTATCTAGTCAAGTAAAATGGAATCTATTTTAGGTCATGCATTAAACCGTCATTGTTGACTATTACAGTGGCCGTCTAATAAAGCTGCAATGACAATGTGAGTAAAGAGGAGAAATGGTTTGAATAAATCTGCAGGTTAAATAACCTAAAGATGATAAAAAAAACGCGTTTTTTTTTTTGTAGAGTTTATTAATTAAATTGTCGTTATATGCCGTCAAAGGCGTAAATTTATGAAAACATTTGGGGAGATAAATTAATTATATTCCTTATCCTAAATTGTTTTGTATAAAAATTCTTTAAAATTTTTTTTAATTATGGGGGCCACAACAGCTTTTGGATGTCTAAGCCTTCCTGCAATCTACGTCTGTGCATCCCACTGACTGTAAATTATTTTCAATTTCAATTATATTTTCATCAATCATATTTCACAAGGAGAAAAAATTACAAAAACTTTGTCAGATTTTTGTGGGCTTATAGTTTTGTTGACGAACTGCTCTGTATCACAATACTTACTTGTTGATCGTGAAACCAAATCAACAATTTGTACTTGAACAGTAAAATTGGCAATAAACGTTTAATACATTATTTATATGTGTATTTTACTAATCATGGAAAAACTTTTGTAACAGTTATTTGATAAGCTAACTCAGTAGCTGGTTGTGTATGAGCAAAATTGTCAAAGAAAATATATTATTATGGGTCTATTATGGGCTTATAGTTTCAATTCATTGTTTTGATCTATGTTATTTTCATATATTTTTTTCTCTAAAAATATTTTCACCTAGTCTAATAGCTTTGAATAAATAAATAAAAATTTTTTTTCAGCAGATTTAGATCATGCCATATAAAATCAATGTGGTCCTCATTATGTTGGCCATAGTGGGGGCCGTACTGGCCGATTTATCAATGAACCGGCGTGCAAGCATGGGTTTTATGGGAATGAGGGGTAAAAAGGATCAAGAATCCGGTGGAAATAGTGATGATACATCAGCAGGGCTAGAGCTCGACAAAAGATCTTTTTCGACATTACTCTTTAGGAGACCAATGTTCAACGGGGGAAGATCGGCAGCAGTGGCTGCGGCTGCAGCAGCGGCGAATTCCGCGGAAGGTTTTAAAAGAGCCATGGGCTTTGTCGGTATGCGAGGTAAAAAAGAATACTCCAAAGGATCGGCCGGTTTTTTTGGTATGCGTGGTAAAAAAGTGCCTTCGGAAGCATTCTTTGGAGTAAGGGGTAAAAAATGGGCCAATATGGACACTAGTGATGATGAGCAGACCATAATTGCTTTACATAAAATATTCAACAATATGCAAACAGATGGAGGTATATATATATAACCAAAATTATTCAACTGCACTTAATGAACTCAAATAAAATAAAAAAAATCTGCTGTACTAATGACAATATTACTATGAATGCATTGAAAATGATTCATTTATCGTGAACCACTTAAATAATAAAAAAATAATAATATTGGAAATTTTTTGGTTCTCTTTAAAATACATGTTTTACTTAATTTATCAATCCTAAAGTAATTTTTATGATTATCCCTCATACCTTATAAGGGTGTCAACTTTAATTAATAATCTAATTAAGAAAAAAGGTCAAGAACAACCTTAAGACTAGTATGTAAGAAATTATTAACATTTTATAGTGATGGCTGAAGGTACTATTATTTTTATTCATAGACATTTCCCAGCCCGAGTATAATAGTGATAAATTTATAATAGTATAATAAATGTATAAAGGGTGAACTTAAAAATATTTTATGATTGTTAAAATGAGAAAAAACATGTATCTAAAAGAAAACAATTAAATATTCTCAGTATTACTTTTATCTTTTGATTAATTAAGTGGTCCATAATAAATTAACTACCCTTTATATGTATAGATTAAATAAAATATGTTTTGACAGTTTAAATTTATTTTGTTTCAGAACGAAATTATGTGGTAACAAAATTTGACGAAGAAAAGGAAATACGTTAATTTAAATTTTAGATTATACCGTAGCACCATTTTAATATTATGAGTTAAAATTCTTTACTTACTACTATTTAAATTAACTTATTTTATAGTAGTTAATATGAATTTAAAATAAACATAATTGTATAAAGAAATGCATATTTTAAAACATTGTTTGTCTACGTGTTGAGTTGATTATTGATTATTTTATGTATTTAATTTAAATTTTAACGCTATAAAATATGAATATAAATATATAATTTTATTGATTATTTTAATTATTGTCTATAATTATACGATAATGATCGTTTCTAATGTTTCCTAATTTCTAATGAGAGTATTATTTAAAATTTTAATTAAATTTATAAATGCAAAGGTGCATTATTATGACATATGTGTAATATTATTTATAACAAATGATTTTTTTT